GTTCGCTCCCAAAGGGCTTCTGAAACCGATAGAGAACTCCAGGATCGCCCAGGAGAGCCTCAAGATGTGCCCAGAATTGCGCCAAGACGGCCCCAAGAGCGCCTTACATCACCTCAAGAAAGCCACAAAGAGGCCACTTGTCCGGCTCCAGCGGGGGGGTAATTAAACTGCCCCCTCCAGACTGGATGTCGTGCAGGATGCCCCCGCATGCCCCTAAGACCCTAAGAAGCCCCCCGAAGACTGCTCTAGAAGCTCCCCAAATGGTTCCAAGGGGGATTGGAGAGGCTTCCAATGAGGCCCCCGAAGCGAAGAGCGAACGATCCGCCTCCTCCTCCTCCTCCTCCTCCTCCTCCTCATCATCATCCATGTCCTGCTCCTCCTCCCACGTCATCCTCCCATTCCTCTTCCTCTTTCCCGTCCTCCTCCTACTCCTCCCCCTACCACTTCTCCTCCTCCTCCTCCTCCTCCTCCTCCTCCTCCTCCTCCTCCTCCTCCTCCCACCTAGGGTTCACCAAACATTGTCTAGGACCGTGGTCCACCAATTTCCTCTTCCTCCTGCTCGCCCTCCTCCTCCTCCTCCTTCCGATTCCTCATTTGTCCTCCCTTCTCCTCCTCCGCTTCCTCATCCTTCTTCTCTCTCATCCCCCTCCATCGACATATATAGGCTGCGCCCGCTCTCTGCCCTCTGCATGCACCTGCACTTCCCTGATCAGGGCAACTCGCCTGGACATCGTCACTGGATGGGCGGGTGGGGGTACGCGGCGCGTCACAACCTCCTTAGAACTATGGCTCCCTCTAGAGATATCAACTGCGGCGTCAGTAGGCCAGTGCATGTGCACCTGGCGTCTATTTGAGCACACCCATGTAGCAACATTGAGGGCGACCGCATGGGTCTTGCATATCCTTTTGGCTAGCACTTTACACTGTTCGTGCCCCAACGCACCGCAACTACTACGCCAATAGAGGCAATATGATATGAACACCGCATCCGTTTTGCTCCTCTCCCCTCCCCCAGCAAGCGAGACAGCCGCGTGCTATTTAGCAGGATATCCGAGCCAAGCGCTGTTACATGTTAAAAGATTCGTCAAGGTGGTCAAGTGTGTCTATGACATGCCAAGCTTTCCTGCCCAAAAGAACAGAAGGCGTCAGAAGGCCTCAGGACATCCCCGGAAGGCCCCAAGGCACCCTACAAATCGCCCACTACGTCCGAAAAGAGTACCCAAATATCCCCAGAACCTACGTAACGCTGGAAACCTATCTCCTGCGGTACATCACCGAGCCCAAATACCACACTGAAGTCCAGCCAAATAAATCTCATACCTGGATCGCCAATCCTCTGGACCGCACAACTTGTGACGGCAACGCCATCCCTGGAAAATTAGCCTGGCGAAGGACCCAACCATATGCAGCTGCGAGTGCCGCACGGATATGAGACGAAGGAGGGGGCACGCAAACTAGGCCCCTCTTCTCATAGGCACCGCGCCACTGGGGCCTTCGGTGGAGCTCCCTATGGGGCCACGAAACGTGTGAGGGGTGTGCCGAAATGGGTGGTGGGGAGGCATGCGGACCCTGGGGCCTTCGGTGGAGCTCCCTATGGGGCCACGAAACGTGTGAGGGGTGTGCCGAAATGGGTGGTGGGGAGGCATGCGAACGCAGCCACTGGGGCCTTCGGTGGAGCTCCCTATGGGGCCACGAAACGTGTGAGGGGTGTGCCGAAATGGGTGGTGGGGAGGCATGCGACTGGGGCCTTCGGTGGAGCTCCCTATGGGGCCACGAAACGTGTGAGGGGTGTGCCGAAATGGGTGGTGGGGAGGCATGCGAACCCAGCCACTGGGGCCTTCGGTGGAGCTCCCTATGGGGCCACGAAACGTGTGAGGGGTGTGCCGAAATGGGTGGTGGGGAGGCATGCGAACGCAGCCACTGGGGCCTTCGGTGGAGCTCCCAATGGGGCCACGAAACGTGTGAGGGGTGTGCCGAAATGGGTGGTGTGCGGCCACTGGGGCCTTCGGTGGAGCTCCCTATGGGGCCACGAAGTGTGAGGGGTGTGCCGAAATGGGTGGTGGGGGCATGCGAACGCAGCCACTGGGGCCTTCGGTGGAGCTCCCTATGGTGAAACGTGGAGGGGGCCACGTGTGAGGGGTGTGCCGAAATGGGTGGTGGGGAGGCATGCGAACGCAGCCACTGGGGCCTTCGGTGGAGCTCCCTATGGGGCCACGAAACGTGTGAGGGGTGTGCCGAAATGGGTGGTGGGGAGGCATGCGAACGCAGCCACTGGGGCCTTCGGTGGAGCTCCCTATGGGGCCACGAAACGTGTGAGGGTTGTGCCGAAATGGGTGGTGGGGAGGCATGCGAACGCAGCCACTGGGGCCTTCGGTGGAGCTAAACGTGTGAGGGGTGTGCCGAAATGGGTGGTGGGGAGGCATGCGAACGCAGCCACTGGGGCCTTCGGTGGAGCTCCCATATGGGGCCACGAAACGTGTGAGGGGTGTGCCGAAATGGGTGGTGGGGAGGCATGCGAACGCAGCCACTGGGGCCTTCGGTGGAGCTGCCTATGGGGCCACGAAACGTGTAAGGGGTGTGCCGAAATGGGTGGTGGGGAGGCATGCGAACGCAGGAGGGAGGAGGGCGAGGAGAAGGAGGAGGAGGAGAAGGAGGAGAAGGAGGAGGAACGCGGGGACCGTCTCTTCAAAACGAGGACCCAGCACCACAAGATGGTTGGGCACAATCGGCAAGACACACCGACTGCTGCCACCCCGCTGCTAAAGCTTCCGATATTGGCAGCCTGACCTCTCCTTGATGGACACCACATCATTGTTTACAGAGGCGAGTGCGAGGATCTTCCAGCCCCTAAGCCAGCTGCTCTACGTTCGGCGGGTCAGCTGCGCGGGGTGGAGCCTCTCTCGGAGCCCAAATGGCAGCGCCAGAACCTCCAGCGGACGAGCAGGATGTCGAAGTCATCTAAATGTTCAGAAGTGCGACGACGAGACGCTAAAATGGTAACATGGGAGGGGCGGGGGGAAGAGGGGTGATTCGATGAACGATCTGCGACCATGTGGACTGTTTCAAAACTGTGGCGATATCGCCTTGATCGGCCTCCTGAGTCCTGTGGAAAGCCTGCGGTAACCAAACCACACTCTGTGTGCACCTGGCGTGACAAAAGCAGGAATGTCAACATGAACCTCCTTCAAACAGGGGGCTTGGCCTTGACTGGCCTGGGCCCTGAGACTCGCCCTTGAGACGCACAGATACCTTCAACCGACCAAGGCCTGATCCGATGCCAGGATGCCCTACAAACTGGTTGCGCCAACAAAATGGCGGGCGCAAATGTGCATGAGTCCGCGTGCTCGCATATCCATGCATACCCCTGTCTGCAGAGATCTGGCCAGTGTACGTGCTTGGGAAGGGCAGGCGGAACAGGAGAAGGGAGGGAAGGGGGATCGAGGAGCAAGACAAAGGATGAATGGGACGAACACATCACCGACTCCCCACTTTAAAAACGATGACGTACTTGAAAAACACTGCTCCACTCAATCACAAGATGGAACAATGCACAGCCGTCAACAGACACCTAAGCAATAAAAAGTTCGCGACGGAGAATTGAAACACCACCAGCTCGAAGCCAGGTGGCGACTATTTCAAAAGCCATCCGATCTGACCGCCCAGGCGATGTGTCGTTTGTATTGCCTCAGACGTGCATCTCAGACGTGCAACTAACTCATCATGTATTGAAATTATCAATTGGCAAATGCTGTCACTTGTGAATCTCGCCCCAAGGTATCCATAGGTCACGTGTGCTAGTAATTGAGATGTGGAGCATGGCGATACTCTCGACACTCATTCTCACAGACGTTAGGACGCTGCACACATTGACGAATCATCTACGGTCCCTGGGAAAACCATCGCTGAAAAAGGAACGTTACCTACACCTGGTATCTCCACAATGCATCTGACATCATTATTAGCAACGGGCAGAGTGAAGACCAAGTCCAACCGTGGGAACGTGCAGAGCACAATGACACGATCATCACCCCCGAAAAGGGGCTCGCTGAGCAAAGCGCGTGGAGGGGACATGTAAATAGAGAGAGGGAGGGGTACAGCGAGAGATACATGGAGGCTGCGAGACACAAGGAGATGGCAACACATCCTAATATATTGAGACATGCGAAAGCTGCAGGACAACCTGATGACTGCAACGTGCAGAAGATAACGTATTGACACGCGTACACACCTTGCTGCGTTTGGGAGAGTGAGAAGGAGAGACAGAGTGCGTGCGTGTGGTATGTATATTTTTGTATACAGATAGAGAGAGAGAGGGAGGAGAGAGAGACAGAGAGACATAAAGAGAGAGAGAGAGAGAAACATAGAGAGTGAGAGAGAGAGGTGAAGAGAAGGAACGAGGTAATCGTGCAGATAGTGGAAAATCAGACGTCGTGCTGAATGCAGTGGTCCACTGACCTGGTGGCGCGCCGAACAACCAGAAGCGGCGCCGACGAAATGTCGGTCTAGCGCCGACAGCGAGGCGCTACCGCGCCACCGTAAAGGGACAGGTAAGCGTCCCTCCCTCCTTCCCGCCCTCTCACGCTCTCAAGGTCTGCCCACTGTGCGCTGGGGAACCCGGGTGCTGAAACGTTGCTATGGCATTGGCCATAACTCGCACGCTCCGCATCGCCCGGCCCTCTCCGCACAAAGGAATGGAGGAGTCGCACGCTACTGCTACGAAAACCGAGCATCCAGAAACCCTGTGCTCCTGTGCAACTTAGAAACCCGTGTTCTCGAAATTCAGCGGAATTTGCCTTCTCGTTACGATTTCAACCATGTTCGACTGAATTTTCAGGCTGCTTGCAAGCCGTCATCTTTCTGGATGCCCAAGCCTTGAGGTGCTCTCCAGCGTCGGCCGGCCGCCCATCCCAGGACGTGGGGAGCCCACCGAGACCGCTGGTCTAGGCGGCTCTCGCGCGCTCGCGGGTCACAGGGCGAGCCAGGGCCGCAACCCGCAGGGC